TCGGCTCTTCGCTCCTTGCCCGATCTGGTGCTCGGCTTTCAGCTCCCTGGGCTGTGCCTTGCCTGATCTGTGTTTCGACTTTCAGCTCCCTGTCCTGTGCCCTGCCCGATCTGCTGCTCGGCTTTCAGCTCCCTGGGCTGTGCCTTGCCTGATCTGCTGCTCCCTGACCTATCTACTGCCCTATCCCAGTCCTCTCCCTGATCTGCCATGTACCACACCGAGATGCTGCCTGTGCCCTTTTTGGCACATATGCGGTGGGTTGGATTTGCGCTGATACAATTTTATCTGTTACTTTTCTGGAAGTAACTCCGCACTGCTGCTGTAGGGCTGCTGCACATTGCCTGTTCCCTCCTTTTGATGCTGTTGTAAAAGAGAAATCCCATTGGGAAAATTGTGCTATGTGTCCAGTGCCTGAGGTTGACAGAACAACTAATAGAATCACAGAAAATGAGGGTTGGAGGTTACCTCAGAAGGTCACCTAGTCCAACCCCCTGCTCAAAGCAGGACCAGTCCCAGCTAGATCATTGCAGCCAAGGGTTTGTCTAGCTGGGCCTTAAAAACCTCCAAGGATGGACGGTCCACAACCTCTCTGGGTAACTTGTTCCAGGGTTTTACAACCCTCCTAGTGAGAAAATTCTTCCTAATATCTAACCTAAACTTGCTGTAACTTGAGGCCATTGCTCCTTGTACTGTCACCTGCCACCACTGAGAACAGTTTAGCTCCATCCTCTTTTGAACCCCACTTCAGGTAGTTGAAGGCTGCTATTAAATCCCCCCTCAATCTTCTCTTCTTCAGACTAAATAAGCCTTTCCTCATAAGCCATGTCCCCCAGCTCCCTCACCATTTCCGTTGCCCTCTGCTGGACTCTCTCCAATTTGTCCACATCCTTTCTGTAGTGGGAGGCCCAGAGCTGAACACAGTACTCCAGATGTGGCCTCCCCAGTGCTGAATAATCACTTCCCTTCATCTGCTGGCACTACTTCTATCAGTGCAGCACACTATGGCATTAGCCTTTTTGGCAACAAGGTCGCGCTGTTGGCTCATATTCAGCTTATTGTCTGCTGTAACTCCAAGGTCCTGTTCTGCAGAGCTGCTGCCCAGCCAGTCAGACCCCAGCCTGTACTGGTGCATGGGATTGTTCTGTTCTAAGTGCAGGACTTTGCATTTGTCTTTATTGAACTTCATGTGATTTCTTTTGGTTCAGTCCTCCAATTTGTCGAGGTCTCTCTGAATCTATGCCCAGTTCTCTACTACTCCCTCCTGCTTGGTGTCATCTGCAAACTTGCTGAGGGTGTGCACCATCCCATCTTCCAGGCTGTTGATAAAGATATTGAACAAAATTGGCCCCAGGACCAACCCCTGGGGCACTTCAGTTGATACCAGCTGCCAACTAGACATCAAACCATTGATTACTACCCTCTGAGACTGATGCTCCAGCCAATTTTCTATTCACCTTACAGTCCATTCATCCAGCTCATACTTCCTTAGCTTGCCTTTTAGCTCAGCAATGGTGCCATGGGGGCTGCAGTAGTTGGAAACCACTTACTAGCTATTATGTTGTGTACCTTAGTTTTCCTGTTTGTAAAATGGAGATATATACTTTTTTATCATGATGTTGTGAGTTCACATCATGGGTGACTGGTGTTGTCTTAGGGGGGCACGTGCCCCCCCTGTGACCAGTCCCTCCGACTGGAGGGGTGGGTCCCCCGTGGCTGATCTCACAGCCCAGGTGGGCCCCCACGGCCAATCCTGTGATGGCCGATCACTGTGGCCAGTTGCTGCAGCCACTTCTGGGAGTGGCTGCAGTGATTGACCAGCACTTAGAGGGGGGGCACTGACACTCCTGCCTGCCCCTCCTGCCCATTGACTAAGCAGCAAGAGTGGCCGGTCAGGGGGTGCACATGCACCCCCGTGCATCCCCATGTGTCGCCACTGGTTTACATCATATTTGTGAATGCTCAGATGCTATTTTAATGATGATTTTTAGAGAAATTTTTAAGTAAAGACTTCCTGATAGCAGGCTATGTTAGGTTCTGGTATAGTCTTTTAAGGGAACTGGTGGAAAAGTTAACAAGGTGCTGGCAAACACAGTAGAGAAAAATCTGTTTAGTGGCATGGCAATAGACTGGGTGGGTGGTCTGAAGATTTTCCACCTGCTTTTACCAGCCTGTAGTATCTGTTATTAAGCCCACTGCTACATATAGTTACAACTTTACAAGCTGTTATTTAACTTTTCTCTGTAGAAATGTAGAAGCAAGATTTTTTTTCAGCGGAGTAATAGCTTCCACAGTTGCCCTTTACATCAGATAAATTAGTCCTAAAAAATTATATTCTAAATATACAGCTGGGGGGAAGGGGTTTTATGTTGTCAAATGTAGTGATTATATCTACTATGGCATCTACTACCATGTTAAGGATGTGCTGGAGTGCCAAACATCCCAATTCAAAAGGTATCGGAAACTGATAGATGTGTCTCCAAAGTTGCATCAAAATAATAGAAGTGTAGTACTAGGAATTGCTTGTAAAATCTTTATGCACCTGACCCTGTGACAAGGAGCGTTGTTTTCATAGCACCTCAAATAGAGCCGTAGAATGCACTAAGTGGATTTGTTTAAATAGGATTTATCTGGTTAAAATGTGGCAAAACTGATCCTTAAGAAGCAATTTTATGTATCTGTTCATTTGTTAGATTTCTATGCTGACCTTCCCAAAAGAGCCTTGGTATAATTTGCAATAAGATTGACAGATACGTTTCCAAAGATGCCAGTGTTCATGTTGACAAACAGATGAAAGCAAGTCATACTGTATATGCTTATGCATTATTTGTATACAATGGCATGCTGAAGTGACTAATGAAGAAACGGTTATCAAAAATGTTTAACTTGTATCTGGCAGACAACACTTGAAAGCCTGCAAAATTGAATATGGCATTAAGATTCACATTCTTTTAAACAGAATTATCTTCAAAGAAGAAATTTGAAGAAATTAAGAAGGCTAATCAAGCTGCAGCAAAAAAGCTTGTTGAAGACCAATATAGTTCTTCATCTGAGGATGATGACGATGAAGATGATGATATTGATGGAAAGCATGGACAGATTTTGGCCAAAACATTCACAACCTATACTAATCAAACTGGTATAGTATTTTATGTAATGAACTATTTCTCTGTAATACAAAAAACATCAGTAGCACTGCATTCCTGTAATACACATGGATGGATAATTAGAGACATAACTTATATATTTAGTTATATAAGCTATATATAAGTGGGACTAATACTCTTGATGTTGTTCTAGATTGGGGTGGACAAAATATAGCCTTTAGGCTGCAGCTGCCTGCGAAGGGTTTTTGGCCACTAGGATGGTGCTGTGGGCAGGCGGGGATGGGATCACAAGGCAGGATTGTGGGGCTATGACAGTGTGTAGCTGGGGCTCAGGGCCGGGCTGTGATCTGCTGCCCACACATCCCTACAACGGGTGCCAGTTTTGCAGTGAGGGTCATACAGGGAGTGGATCATAGCTCTGTCCTGGGCCCCGGCCCCATACTGTCATGGCCCTGTGATCCCGGTCCCACCCGCCTGTCCTGCTTTCGAATGCCACTCCCTGCCCAGCCACAGCCCCATCCCAGCTGCCTGACTGAGTGTGGAGCAGAGCCACTTAAGGAGTTTTGGTGAGTTATGTGGGGGGAGCAGGGGTACTGACCCAGCCTGTGGCAGCTCACAAAAACTCCCTAGGTGGCCCTTGGGCCCAAATAATTGCCTGTCCTAGATATAGTGGTACATGTTAGCAGAATGTAGTGATATATAGCTGCAGAATCAGCAGAATGTTTTAAAAATTTGTCTTAACGTGGGCATTTAAATTCATCCTAGCATATGACTGATCTCTGTGCTGAAAAAATACGTTTAATTTTCTTTGTTGGACAAACTGTAGAAGGTTTCATATGCCACCTAGGCAGAAAGCCATACAGTTAAGGTAAGAATATTTTATTTTACAGAAAGGGAAAGAAATTCAGCTCTGCAGAATAGAGGGTTATGGCCTTTTGACATAATAAATGCCTAAACACATCCCTCCTCCTTGCTGAATTGTCTTACAACATTGGCAACTTGGTTTCATGCCTGGGAGACGCAACGTCTTGCTATTTTCCATTAATTCTTTAATTCCATGTGCCTACATTCAGTTTTTGTTGGGCAAAGGAGTTGTGTTGGATGGGGATGAAAGAGGCCCAGAAGGAGAGGGTGACAACAAGAGTATGACTTGAGGCCTAGCCTGGATTAGTAAGTACTGCATTCTGGCAAGCACTTGCAGAAAAAGGGGTGATAGGGAGGAGAAAGTTGGGGGTGAATGCAGAGATGGTGTTGGGGGGGGAGCAGGAGGAAGAGTAGCAGTTGAGGGATGACCTGCTAGCTCCATAGAAGCTAAACAAAGCTGCAGGTAAATGCCTGTACACTTGCTGTGTATTTAAATCAGGGGAGGGCAATTATTTTGGCTGGAGGGCCACTTTTGGTGAGCTGTTGCAGGCAGAGGAGGATGGACTGCTAATGGGGCAGGAGCAATTGAGTTTATACGGCCCTGAGCCCACCCGCTTGCCCTGCACCCACTGCCAGAAGTGCCAGATGGAGCAGGTGGATGAGGAGAGTGTCCTCGGACCCCTGCAGGCAGGGTGTGCTCAGCTGGGCAGATTGGGTGGGGAGTGACATCTGGGAGTGGGATGGGTGGGCTGGCCAGGGCTGGGGTTGGGATCATGGGGTGGTGATAGTACAGGGTGGGGGCCTGGGGCAAACCCGTGATCTGCTCCCCATGCAGCAGGGACATGCTGGGAATGGATTGCCGCTCTGCCCTGGACCCTGGCTGTGTGTGGTCACTGCCCACACTCTCCTGTCCCACTTCTGGATGCTGCTCTTTCCTTGCCCGTGGCCCCATCCCATCTGCTCAACTAAGCACACCCTGCCCATGGGGGTCCTGGCCAGTCTCTATGGAGACCCCACCTGCCCACTCTGTCTAGTGCCCCGGGTAGTGGGTGGGAGGCAGACAGGCTGAGGTGCCCAGGCAGCGGGGCTGAGTCTGGTGGTGGTGGTGACACTAGCAGCTGCAGCCGGAAGGAGCTGCCACTGCTGGGGCTGCTGGGAAGCAGTCTGGCTGTGCCACCCTGCCATGCGCCTAGGGGTAGTGGGACTGACCTCACATGCCAGGGCTTGGGCTGCCTGGAGCACCCAGGCCCAGTGGGACTGAGAGACCTGCCACAGGCTGCATAAAATTCCTTGGCAGGCCACATCTGGCCCATGGGCCATAGTTGGCCCACCCCTGATTTATACCCAGTTACTCAGTGGGCAGAAGGTTTTAAAACCATGATGCTTTTTTTCTTTACTTAGTTAAATTTTACAAGATGGTCACATGATGCTTTCTTTTACTTTTACTTGGAAATAAAGAGTGAGCATCTATGATGTTGATTGCTTTACAACTAAACTTGGGGTTTTTGTATGTTAAAGATGGAGATGCAAGTGAACTGGAACGTACAAGACAATACGTGAATGAAGCTTTTCAGTCTGGAGCTATGACATGCTTGATTTGTATTGCTTCGATTAAAAGAAATCAAGCTGTAAGTATTTTATGATGGTCTTTGAGGCAGCTTAATTATTTTTATCAATCTGAATGTATTTACCCAATAAGCAAGTTACAGGTTTAAATGCATGAGCCTTAGAAGAGCCATGGATTAATAGTTGTAGAGTAGTACAGGTAGTAAATATTACAAAAAATAGTTTCATTTTCAGTTAATTATTTTATTTGTATATTAACAAAACCTGTGCAGGTATAACTTAAAATATTCATTCTCGTTTATTTGTTTAGTGAGATGCCTACTAAACCTAAGTCTGTAGTTGTGGTATACAGTAAGGGCTGTCAAAGTCTTTTTGTGATCTTAGAATTTTATTTCTCTTACTGCAGTTGACCCAATATTGTTTTGATTCTTTAATCATTAAAAAGTATTTTTTTAAATCACCATACTTATTTTGTATCTATAATATTTTCTATCCAATCTTAATAACATTAGAATTTAAAGTTTAAAATGTTGGAAATTACACACTGAGTTTTTGCTAACCTTTATGGTGGTTCCAAGGGAACAAACTTTTAATATTTTGTCTGTCATGAGATTAGAAAAATAGTCTTTGCGTTTCCTAGCCTTGGTTTAAAATAACTGTCTGTCACGGGATAAATTAAGGAAACTCAGGCTTAATATTTCTGCAGGATTTTACATATCCAGTAAGTCCAATTTCTACAGTTCTTTAAATGGTCTAACAACCTTAACATAAAATATCCATCTGGCAGATTTATAGTCTGATTGGGAGGACTGCCAGGTGTGTACAGCCCACATTGCAGGTGCACTGCACAAGATTTACTTGCACAAATACAAATCTGTCTGTTTCAAAATCTTTCTCTTTTTCAACAATGTTGAAAATAACACCTTATATCAGAGAAGGGTAAAATATTTTCCAGTATCTTTTTGCATAGTTTCAGCATTTCTACTGCTTGATTAAATCTTTATAACCAAGAGGAGAATCTACATAGCAATTGGAGAGGGAACGTAGCTTATGAAAGTATGAAGCTGTAGTAGTAAAAGAATCAAAATTGACTTGATATGTAGTATGTGGAAATGTAATTTATCCTCCTCTTTTTTTATTAATTGGCAGTATTTCAAGTTGATATCCCTTTAGAAATTCTTTTTTTTTTTTTTCAGGAATTGAAATTGGAGCATGCATAATATGTGCTATTTTCTTTGTGGCTAGGAGAAAGACCCTGCATTTGTCTCTGGATTAGTTTTGCTTGTGTTTGTCCTGGAACAATAATATCCCAAGATTGGCTTGTAAACACGTTTAGTGAGTGGCTGAATGCAGTGCCACTTTTCTGGCATTGATTCAGCGATGCAATTTTGGGATATCTCTACAGATACTTTGCAGTATTATGGGATAAAGTGTTACCACTTCATATCAGGAAACTTTTCTAGGATTTATCCTGGGACATTGGACAAGGATGTTTGTACAATTGCGCTTTGTCCCAAGATAAATGGTTTAATCAGAGATAAATGTGACATCTGTTTACAGATGTGTTTTGTTTTGTTTTGTTTTGTTTTTTTTAGGTATGGAGCTGCTTTGGCTGTTTCTGCATATTTCATCTGCCTTGTATCCAAAAGTGGGCTAAGGACAGTGTTTTTCTCATATCGTCTCCCTTGACAGATGATGATTTTGGGAAGAAGGATTATCCCTGGCCTTGGTAAGTGTATAATATTATGCTTAAAAAGATACATAAAGCGTAAAAAGATGCCTTTATTGTGGAATACCTGAAAGCTGATTTATTTTAAAAAGTAATGGTACTTGTAGCTGCAAATATAACAATGGTGTCCTCCAAATCTTAAAATCACATTTTAATTAATTTTTTGAAGTTATGCTGTCACAATTTGTAATAAGGAAGTTGTGACAAAGGTGGGGTGCTGGTGTTACCATTGGGGTACCTTTAAGCTCAAAACCTCTCTTCACTGTTCTGTTACTTTACCACTAAGAAGCAGCTGAGGTTTGTTCTTGGGCCAACATCTTTGAATGCTTGCAGACATTAAAAAAGAAAAACGGTGCTGTACTTAAAAACTTGATGCGCATGCCCAGAAGAGGCAGCATGTTAGTTGGACCTGGCTTCCCTGACATCTGTACAGTTTGGGTGTTTTAGTGGGGCTTTTGTGGCACTTCTATCTAATAGCTGATTGAATCGGATTTAGCTAAAAGTGCCAAAAAGCCCTGCTGAAGCACATGATCTATACAGATGCTGTGGAGCTGGGTCGAAGTAACACACTGCTTCTTCTGATAAAGCGCAGTGTTTTTTCATTTTTTTTAAACATCTGCAAGTAGCCTTAGTCAAGTAAGCCTTGGCTCCATCTGTCTCACTCCAGGCTTTGACAACTCTAGCAGAGGAGATTTTTCCATCTTCAGGATCATACCTTGTCCAGTTTATGTAAAATTGTATTGGTCTCCTCCTTTGGAGAAGAGGCAGTCTGTAGTTGTCAATTGTCCTGAAACTACACGTAGCACAATCAGTAAAAAATACAAAATAGCAAAAAGATTTATTATACAAGCAACAAAAATGATATAAATGGTAACTGTATACTGAAAGAGACAGAGATATGAGAAAATAGTCATTAAGAAATACAGTAAAACTCACTTTGCCCTACTTGCTAAAATGCAGCTCCTCTCTCTAAACCATGTCTGTTTCCAGAAGCAGCTTGTCATTGCAATCCCAGTTATCCCAGCTTCTGCCAGCTGGGGAACTAGATTACACAAAGCCTATGGATTGCTAGAAAACCACTTGCCTCACCCAGCTCTTCATAAATGCTTAATTTATTCATCTATATCTTTCTACTCACTTCTTGGGGAGTATGTGTATTGTACAAATATTTTTCCCACCAGATATGCATCTGTCTGTCAGACCAGGTGTTTCTAATTTAAAATTAGATCTAAGAAATATCTACAGGTGATACAGACAAGTAAAAAAATAATCCATAGGTAAGAGAATTAAGGTACTGCTTCCTAGGTTGCCAGTACCCTGCAGCTGTAACTTTGTCTATAGGAAAATGGGAGTGGAGCAGTGGGGGGAACATGAGATGGTTGGAAGTGTGAAGATGCTTCATTTTATCAGTGAGGTATCAGCTTTTTAAGATAAATGTTCTAATAGCAATACATTGAAAAAGCTTGTTGCCTTTGAAGATGTGTTATATTGGCATGAAAATGTTTCTAGCTGTGGTCAGTGCATCATGAGCTTTAAATCTAGCTGTTCTAATTACTCATTCTTTTTTATATTATTGGTGCATAGTATCATAGAACAGTAGCTGAAACAGTGAATACTGTATACCACTTAAGAAGTTTTTGAAAAGGAAGCAGGATGCTAAAAGAAATGACAGTCGTTATGACTCCACCTGTTAAATTTGCTTGTTGGACTTCTGGGTTGTGATATATGTAGCTTATAATTCCTACTGTCTAGTTTATAATAACTACAGTCTACTGATACCTATCAAGAATAGAATATAGTAAGTCACAGATGTCAAACTATTGTAACTTTACATTCCTTCTAGACCTATGTTTTTAATTATAAAATATTGTATTATGATCACTAAGTCTTGTTTTGAATAGCTTGGAAATCTGCTCTAGTGAGACTCCTACATTTTAAATGTTTGCCTTAGTCCTGTTCAGATGTTTAGTTTTGTATAAATTCCTTTAAATAAGCTTGTATTATTTGGGTATTCAAGGTGTAAAATAGTACTCTAACTGCTCTCAGGGTTTGGGCTGTGTTATTGGAAAGGGAATTGTGGATTTGGGCTCTTGAAGAAAATTGTTCTAATGAACCTGTGCTTTAAAAATTAGTATGTAGCAACTACTTTAGTGTGTTTTTTATAAAGGTAACTTTATTATCACTGACTACAACAGGTATTGTATTCTTTTTTCTTTTCTTCGCTTTGGTAGTCCAAAATGTAGGTTTGAGTACAAGCAATCTGAAACTCCTACTAGATACTACTGTTACTGTGGAAAAGTGGAGGATCCAGTATTGGACCCTTGGCTGGTACCACACTCGTGTGGCCAAGTATGTGAGAGGGAGTTCAAGCCTCCTTGTGGACATAAATGCCTGCTCCTCTGTCACCCAGGTAAATCCATTGCATACTCTTGGTTATATTAACTGTTTTGAATGAGCCATGAAAAATGTCATATTTAAAATCAGTTCTGACTGTAGGTTTACAACTTTAATCAACAAGTGAAAGTAAGCATTTGCAGGGTGTTGTGGTATTAAAAGTTGTTGAACATAGATCAATTTGTAGCTAGCAATAAAATCTTAATTATCTTATTGTTTTCTTCTAATTGCACCTAGGTCCTTGTCCTCCTTGCCCAAAGATGGTCACAACAACCTGTTATTGCAAGAAGGCTAAGCCTATACCACGAAGGTGCAGTAACAAAGAATGGTCATGTCAGTTGCCATGTGGCCGAAAATTGCCATGTGGACAGCACAGTTGTGAGAACCCTTGTCATCCAGGTAAACCTAAGCTCTGAAACAATTTAGAGTAATGGCTTTGCATCATTCATTAAAAGTGAGCACTTGCCTGTATGAACTATTTGAAAAACAAACCAACCTGACCAATTTCTTGCCTCTCTTTTTTTCACAGTTAAACCCTTATTTAATTATTTCTTTTTAGGGAATTGTCAACCTTGTCCACGAGTCAGTAAACAGCGATGTGTTTGTGGTAGACAAATAGCAGAACGACTTTGTGCAAGCCCGTTGTGGCAGTGTGACCAGGTATGTTTCATAAAGCTGTTATTTTTGGCTCATTTCTCATCTTTTAAGAAGATGAGCTGCTTCATATATCTGTGAATTTAAAGGAAGCTTGGTTTTTGCCTTTTACAGTTATATCAAGTATCTCAAACAAGCACATTATATGCAGCAGTCACATCCAAGAAATGCATCACAGGGATCAAATTTACCTCTGACACTAATAGCCCCAATTTAATTAACTGCACTGGAATTGTGCTGTCTGTGACATTAATTTCACCGTCTTAATCCTCATTGTTTTTGCAATTTACAGGTTCTAGAAATAAACCTCTGCCATTTTCTTAAATAAGTATCAAATGCATATAAGAATGTGGTAGCAACAATGGAAGACAGCTTCCCAAATCACTTCTTGAAGATTTGATTTTTTTTGTACTTTAGCCCTAAAACTGAGGCTGTAGATTATGGAATATAAATATCTTAAATTTTGAGAGCCAACCTTGAATGCTGTTATAGGATGGCATCCAACCGCTGTAAACTTATAGTTTATGGTATCAAAATGAATCACTACTAATCTCTGTCTTATTTTGCACTATTGAGGAAAAAATGTCGCCTTTTCACAATCTTGAATTTTTGTGTTGCTTCATTTTGTCATAATTACTCATTGACGTTTGATTGTTTTCTTAGGTATGCAGAAGAACATTGCCTTGCGGTAATCACACATGTGAACAAGTTTGCCATTCTGGTTCCTGTGGAGAATGTCCTCGAACTGGGAAACGGTCCTGTCCATGTGAAAAGACAAGTAAGGAATTTTTTTTCCTGACTCTCATATTGGACACATCTGTTTGATGTTTTAACTAGGCTTCATAAAGATAAGATGCGTTTAAGGAACATAAAGTTAAAGCAGAACATAGTTACTCAGTTTTATAAATATTTTTTGCAACTTATGGTTATCCAGGGCACTCCTGAATCTGCACTGCAAATTACATAGCATGTTCCAAAGAAATAGATTTCATTTTATATAGCATATTTGTTTGCCTCTAAGTTTTATATCACTGACTTAATTTAGGTACGATCTTGACTGTGTGCGCGAACTTAAACCAATATCTTTGCATAATTTCTGTAGTTTATTTCTTTTTTTTCTTTTTAAATGAAGGAGAATCAAATTACAGGTCAGATGGCACACCTAGATGAGCGCATATTTTTTCTTCAGATACTTAACTCCTTGTAATTTTTTTTTAATTTAGAGTTTATTTTCCCCTGTACGGAAGATGTTCCTACGTGTGGGGATAGTTGTGACAAAGTCCTAGAATGTGGAATTCATAAATGTTCACAGCGCTGTCATCGAGGTCCTTGTGAAACATGTAGACAGGTTAGTTCAAGCATACAATTTTTAGATACACAGTTTACTTTGAAAGACTTGTCTCAAGAAGTAGTTAACATAGCTAGTACTTTTGGAGACGGATAAGACTCGATTTTCTGTATAAATGTGTCCAGAAGAGTATAATACACATTACTGATATACTTACCAATTATTTAACATATTTGAGTTTAAATTGGTAGCTGTGGAAACTAACCAGAAAGTGCTTGATAAGTGGTGCACACAGTCTACCTGAACATCCTGAGTTTTAAAGTGTGTGTGTGGCCTCTTTTAAGGCCATTTGCAGCTATGGCCATTTCTTCTTGTTTTTGTTTGACATTATGCTGCCTTTTGCTGGTGGAATAAAGAGGCTTTTATCTAATTTTATTATTTGTATATTTGTATTCCCTCTCCTCAAGCCTTTAGAATGTCCCTTGTTTCTTTGGATTGCAAACTGGCAAGAGCAGGGACCATGCCATCTTAAGTTTATCTAATTCATCATAATGATATTTTAATATAAATATTTGTCTGTTTTCCTTATGCTTCCCGGTTGAAAATTTCTTAGTTTCCAGTTGTGGATGTGTGCTTTCCCCCTCTTCCCTTTCTCCAGGAAGTTGAAAAGCAATGTCGTTGTGGAAAGCATACTAAGCTCATGCCATGCCATAAGCCATATTTATGTGAGACGAAGTGTACTAAAATTCGTGATTGTCAAAAGCACCAGTGTAAGAGAAAGGTAAGGAGTAAAGATAATCTATATATAAGTATGTAATACTTGGTAAAATTCCAATTGTAGTTCTGACTTATGAATTTTTGTTTTACTTTGTGTTGTACAGAAATAAGTTTGCAAAGTGATGCAAGAAGAAACCAGTGTATCAGAGATCTTTGTATTACTTGTCATAGCAGAAGTTAGCAGTTTTGAGAGCTTGATGGAAGTTTTGAGGACTTTTTTCTGACTCTGGTAGGGAGTGGACAGCTAATTTTGATTATAATATCCAGGAAGTAAATGACACTTCCTGCGCTAGAGAATAATTGCATTTCCCATCTTCCCTTCTTTGTGGAAAATGTTGGCGGTTGTTCATAAATTTTAAAGGGGTTCATTCTGACTTGCAGTTGCCTTTCGACAGCTGCCACCTTCAACATCCTTAGCATCTGTCACTGCAGCCAGCACTGATGGTTTTGCATATTAGCTGTTTCAGAGCTGTCTCGCCAACTATAATACAGTGGAGCAGCAGAGACTCTCTGAGCTGGGTTTTTATTTGCAGTTTCAGGAGTGCAATATTGTTTCAATATACATGTGTTTTATATTTGAACTTTTTTTTTCAGCTGAAAGGACTAGATTAATTAATTAATTAAGTCTGCAGTATAGGGTAGATTCAGTGGCAAATTCCAAAGTTGAAAAATACAACTTGGTGTTTGTTGTGCTTCCAGAAATCCATTTTCTAAAACATATACTTCTCCTTGTGTTTGAAAATATGTTCTTTCAGGCTAGGTACAGACATTCAAAAAGCCTGAAGTGGAATCCATCTAAGTTATGTAGTTTTCTGTAAATGGCATAGTTTAGATCAGTAGCTTTTGCCCTTTGGTGGAGGGCACATCTTAGACTGGGTCCTGCCAATTTTAAACTATTCTGTGTGCTGAACTTCTGTTGCATGTATAGACTGGTTTTGTGTGCTGAACTTCTGTTCTGTTATGGGTATAGACTGGTTTCTGATCACTTACACTGGTAAAAGTGTAAAGTCTGTACCTGGCCTTAAGGTTTGAATGAACATCAGAGCTCTCTGTTCTAAGTTCTCAGGCCACCACAGCTTTTTTAAGAAGTGGTTTTTATTAATCTGGGGACTAATCTATTAACCAGTTCCTTGATATTAAAGTGTGCCTCTGTGTTTTGTGGATCAATCTGTTTCAAGGAACTGCTCTCCAGTTACAGCATCTTTGATTTTTAAGTGCCTGTCAAGTGTGCTTTAACTAACCTTTAACTGAAAATTTCTCTGTGAATTGTTAATGGCTGTCTCTTTTTCCTCCCTCCTCCCCCAAAAAGTCATCCTCATCCCTAATAAGAGCAGTGTGATAGCAAATGCAAATATTAGTCTAACTGCATTCTTTTTTTTAAAGTAAAGAGGCAATTTCTGATAGAATAAACCAAGTACATGGAGAGTGATATAGTAAGAGCATATAGCACACTTAATTAATGTTTTTTGTGCTGTATTTTGGCGCTCTTTGCACAATGCCACCAGGTAAAGAGCATGTTAGATTCCTTTGTTGTGCTATCCCGTAGTGTTTGAAATTGGTCCAGATATGTTACTGATGTGTCTGATCTGATTCAGGTGATTTTTATTCAATATAGCGGTAGTGATGAATTGTAATGGAAATCATTACAGTAGAAAAAGTAGCTAATATGAGTAAAAAAATAGTGTTCATGATCATAGTACCATTAGCTCAAAGCTGCTGTTCTGGTTGTCACTTAAATCTTGGATGTCTAGTAGATGTGAATATGAAAGCTTTCATCTATAATTATTGCTGCACAGATGGAGTACACAGACGCCAGTTCGTACTTTAGAGAGAGTTGAGGATTCCTGTTTTCTGTTCAGATTGAGGATGTAACTCTTGGGAGCTGCAGCAGAATTTTTAAAAAAGATCAGTTTGAGCAGTTTCCTCTTTAAACCTCCTCTGTTAGATCTTCTGTGTAGATCCATGAAGCCAAGTTAAACATGCATAGAAACATAATTCCAGGTTTTGCATTTAGAGGCCATACTAATCAGTAACTTAATGCTAAGGTAGGTCAACCAAGGGGTTTCAAGTGACAGTTTTACTGGCTGATATAAAAAAAAATGAGAAAATTATTGCTAATGTGATTCTTAAAACTAAACCCATCAGGATAAATGGGAACAGATTCTTTTTATTTCTATAAAGATTTAAATGCAGTAAATTATTATGATAACTATATTGTGCATTTTCTTGAAATGTGATCTGAGCCAAAGTGAAGGTCTGTAACTGCTTCTTTTAAGCTGCATAAGAATTCTCAGATATTTCTTCAAACTCTTTTCTCTTTTGTCTTCTCCCTTTTTTAAAAAAATCCTTGAAATTTCAGGTGTTAATTTCTCCCTCAGCTGGAGGACTAGAACAGTGTTGTCACATGGTTTAACTTTGGCTGGAGCCTACCTTTCCTTTTCCTCTAGCAGAGGGGGGATGAGATGCTTAGGCTTTACTTCAAATGTAAAAGACTGACAACCCTTACCCCATGAAAGTAAAAGAAAAAAGATTATCTTTACACAGTGTCACAGAAGTAGATGTATTGCCTCTATAGGTCAGTTTTAAAAATAGCTTGGATAAAATATGGGTAAATGTGAAGCAAGCAATTCTAAATTTGTACTAAGATAGTCTGGGTCACCTGACTACCCTTCCTTTGTCTCAGTTAAAGAATGGAATAAATATAAAAAAGATTAAGGAGTTCCATTTCCTTTGGGTTTGTACCTTAGGTCTGCCTAGTTATCCCCTAAATATTACAAGTACATTTTTCATAACTAGAACTGGTATGCTTATATTTGCATTTTGCAAACTGCTGTTTGTGATAGAATGAAATTGCTAGCATGTAGTGTTGAACTATTTCAATATTTGAGCCCCGTCTGTATATTTGCCTCGTGTGCACTGTTTTTTTTTTAACATTTGACCTGCTTTTATAAAATTTTGAATGTCATCGAGGTAAAAGAAAATGTTTTTAAGTGTGATGAGCAAGCTTTTAAAGTATTTTAACAATGATCTAGTGTTTATTGGAAAGGAGCAAAATGACTATGTTAAAGGTGGACTTGAGTAAAAAAAAAAAAAAAAAAAAAAAAAAAAAAAAAAAAAAAAAAAAAAGAAAAAATCCAGGCTGTTACTGCTAACCTTTGTCCCTTCTTTGAAAGAGTTTTGAGTTGACAGGCAGGGGTGTACTTCTCCTGTTCACGGGTTCCAGCTATGTTTTGTTTATAAAACCCTGTGTATTCTTGGCACAATGTTTAGTGTTTAATGCTCTTTTACTTGAGACCATGCACAGTGAGTGGACCACAAATGCTCAAATGAGCGATCATCATAACTCAAAGCTGAAGGTAGAGGTATGGTACAGAACAAGAAGAACTTGGAAACTAACTGATTGGTCAAGCTTGGGCTAATGTCAGCTCAATCATGCAAACTGTACAGTAGTTTAATCACGCATTATTTAGCAACTTAATAGTTTTTTGCCTTTTTTTAGCGGAAGTTCTGTACCTTGCTATTGTATGAAGAGATGCTTTCAAATAATTTTTCTAGGTTTTTTATTGTAAGTGCTCAGAACCATAATACAAATTGCTGCAACTAGTTCTAGAGGTGGTCTTTTATTTCTATGCATGCTGTGATCTGAAGGTTAAATGAACTGCGGTTTCTGTACTTTCATTTCTTGCATAAATTGTACTCTAAGAAAAGGTCAGACTTGAAAACTTGTAAATACAAGTACTGTATTTATGCAGTGTTTTGTTTTTTTTGCTCCCCTTCTGCCTTCCCCTCCACCCCTCATTTGTAGTGTTGTCCTGGAAACTGTCCACCTTGTGATCAAGCATGTGGACGGACTTTAGGCTGTAGAAATCACAAATGTCCTTCAGTCTGCCACAGAGGTAAGAATGACTATAAGGATTCTGTGTACTGATGATGATGTAATGGAATATTTTTTTTTCTCTCTTTTTTTTTTTTTTTTGGCATTAGAATATCATTTTGTATTTGCTTTTTGCCTAGTACTGAATGAAATACCTCCCCTTCATAGATGTCTCTTTTTGGGGAGCGTGAAGAGTTGGAAAGTGATGTTTGGATCATGTCTGCTTGTACAATGAAAACCAAGTTACAGAAGTTTCTTACTTGGTAACTTTTGTTTGGCAGAGTTCACCCACTGTTTAACAATGCTTATTGTATATCTGATTAGGTTATTGCAGGTTCACTTTTTCCCAGATGACTGTGTACACTTAATGTACGTAATGTGCAAGGCTTACCGACATAGAGTGGTTATCAACTAGGGCTTTGTGAAACTTCGGCCACCGATTTGATTCGGAGATTTGGCCTGATTCGGTGTCTGAATCTCCAAATCCAGATTGAATCAGGAGACCCATTAAAAGGTCCGAATTGAATCCAAAGCCTCTGAATCGATTTGAAGAGATTCAGATCGGCCAGGGAGAGGCAGGCACAGTGGGGAGGCTGCAGGTTCTCCTGTGGCTCCTCCGGCTGTGCCTGCCTCTCCACGGGCAGGGGGAGCTGCAGGAGAAGCCTCCATGGCTGCCCTGCCCATCCCCAGCCCCATCTTCACCTGATCCAGCCTTCCGACACTCAAACCCCTCCCCCCAAGCTCACTGGCTGCAGCAGGGGCTCCAGGGGTTCTAGGGCCATGTGGCAGAGCGCCCCGCCCCTCCCTCCCCCCCAACACTGCTCCTGATGGCCCTCCCGCCTGGCCCCAGCAGTTCGGGACACACACAGCCCCTGCTGTCTGATCACCCTCTGCCCTGCCTAGCGCTGCCCCTGATGGCTGCCCTGCCTGGCTCCAGCATCCCAGCAATTAAAAGGAAAAAAAAAGCCCCGCGCTTTCTGGCTGCAGGAACGGTGATTAGGACCTCTGGGGGCTTGTGGCAGTGCCCCTCGTGCAGTGTGGGACAGCAGGGATTGCCCCACCCTCCTTGCCTGGCACCCGCACGACAGGTGTCCCATGGCACAGGTGCATCACAGCTCGGCAGGGTGCTGCACACTGTCTGGGAGCTGGGGCTGCTGGAGCTGAGCACTGGTGGCCTCTGGGTGAATGCTGGAGCTGACCCAGCACCCAGACAGCATGCGGTGCCCTGCCGAGCCGTGCTGTACCTGCGCCATGGGCCAGCTGTCACGCGGGCGTGGGTGGTGATCCCTGCTGCTCCCCATAGCCCCACGCTGCGTGTGGGATCTTTGCCATGAGTACTCAGAGGCCATGATCTCTGCTGCTGCAGCCCATGAGTGCAAGGGAGGGGGTGTTGTTTGTTTTTTTTAAAGTGCCAGGAGGCTGGGGCCAGGTGAGGAATGGGGCCGGGCAGGGCAGCCATGGGGGCTTCTACTGTGGCTCCCCCCACCCAAGGAGAGGCAGGCACAGCTGCCTGGCTGTGCCTGCCTCTCCCTGGTGGATCTGAATCTCCGAATCAGTGCCGAAGCTCCAGTTCTGATTAGGCCCAATTGAATGAGGACAGTGATTCGAATCACCAAATCAGTTCGCTGTCCTCCAAATCAGCCGAATATGATTCCAAATCGAATACTTCCCTATTCGCACAGGACTATTATCAACCTTGTTGGACTTGAGTCACCCTCACAAAATGCCATCTCTTGGCTTTCACATTTTTTTTGACTATGGAAAATAATAGAACACTACATAAAACTAGAGTAACAATGTGATTCTTTTTTTCAGAAAGACCACAACAGGTCAAGATATTTTGGATTTTATAGATTCCTGTTTGAAATCTCTGGGTTTATCTTGTGAAATATATGTAGGTAGTTGCACACCTAACAATGTCAGTATTACACAGCAGCCCTCAGATCCCTTAACCAGGCTGTGTTGCCATGGTTGAGAGTATGTGATGTAGAGAGTGCTGCACTAAATCAATTTGGTCAGTTCTAAAACACAGACTCAGTGAATTCCACTAGAGGAATTGCAGGGTTTTTTGGTTTTTTTTTAATACCATCAGAGATGAATATGTAGTATCTTATGGGTTAAAATGAAAATAAAAAATATCTACTGATTATATTAAGACGGATACTAGCAAAAGTTTCCTCCAGCATCCTCAAACCTCAGTTAAAGAGGGAAGAGGTAAAGAACAATAAAAATTACCTGGCCAACTTTTTTTTGCTTTAGCAGTTCCTTTTATATTTCGCTAGCTTCTTTCAGTCTGTCAGACTACCTCAGTATGTGATGTGTCCCACAGAGAGCACTGAGGCTCAGCTCAGCTATCACTCAGGCTTGATATAGGACAGCTACTATGTATTTAGGAAAGAAGATGGGCATGGTTATGCATCAGCAAATTCAGACTCTCTAATATGAACCATGATATTTTGTCAGAATATCTGAGGGGTGCTATGGTCGTTCAAGAAAAGGCCAAGGTAAATGCAGTGGTAGTGTTGATTGCAAAACATTTGATTACCTATAGATCATTTTTTTTCATTGTTTTGATTGCTCTTTTGTTGTTTAAATGTTTTTAGTGCTGTCTGCAGCTTGTGTATAGTTTATTTTTTTAAAGGGGTTAAAATGCCTTTGTTGCTACTGATTTTCACTGGGAGTAGAGGATGTGTATTTCATTCAAGAAGAGTCTGAGCATCTAGCAGGAGCCAGTTCTTTAAATAATATCAATCCTTAATTCCAGACAGGCACAGAATAACAGGACACTCCAATTCATCATGTGACCCCCGGGGGTACTTACCTTATTAACCTGTTTTGGTCCTAGCATATCACAACTTCACACATCACATGTGCCATTCATACACTGTGTAAAACAAGTTGTTAGAGCATACTCTCAATTTTTAACATATAAATGCCTCAAAACTTGTGAGATGTGTGCATGCTAAAAGTAAGCCAGATTTCCTTTTAAGATTGTTTCCATTTTTAAAACATTTGATTTGTTCTTTCACATTCAGCTTTCTGCCACTGGCTGACAGTGTCTCCTTTTGCATGTTCCTCCCCTGCAAATCCATGTATGCTTGGATTTGTACTTTGAAATGATGAAAACCTTTTTAGGATAGCATCCAAGAGGAACTACCAGGGCACTGGTGATCATAGTACTAATGAGCCCAAGA